ATTGACAATTACATTCAAATTTTATTTGATTATCTTGTATAATTTGTAAATTAGGATAATTCATTAATAAACAATTATCTAATGGTGATATTTGTGTATGTTTAATATGTATTGATAAACGTTGTAAATTTTCAATACCACAAAATGCATTTTTATCAATTGAATTTAATGGATTATTTGTTAATGTTAAATGTCGTAATTTAGGTACATATTCAAATGTATATTCATTTATTGTTTCAATTAAATTTGAACTTAAATCAATATCATCAATTGTATTTGATTGTAAATTTTCTATTGATTTTAATTGATTATGTTCAAATAGAATATATTTTAAATAAGATAATTTTCTTAATGAATATATTAATGTTTGTGTATGAAATATATTTGGTAAATGACGTATAAGTAAACGTTCAAGTGATATTAAATATTCAATTGGTACTAAACTATTTTGATGTGTATTTGTTAAACTTAAATATGTTAAATATTGTCCTATTGTTTGTATATCATAATAACGATAATCATCAATATATATATTTATTAATTCTAAACGATGTAAATATGGTAATTGTTGTAATAAAAATTCTAAATTTAATTTTTGTTTATAATAATAATGTATATTTTTTAATGTTAAAGATTTTAATTTATAAAATGAATTTATTGAAAATATATCTTGAAAATTTTCATTTAATGTTTTTAATGATAATATTGTTGAATTTTCTAAAAGAAATTTTTCAAATTGTTTTATATTTAAAAATGTTTGATCATTAATATTAAGTAAATTACAATGACGTATACGTAAAATTTTTATTGTTAAATTATTAAATGATTGATTTATAAAATTTAAATCATTTAAACATGATTCAAATTCAATTGTATGATAAGATATATTTCTAAAAAAATTTGGTATTATTGATAAACTTATACATTTTAATGATATTGAGAATTCATCATTATTTATATTATCTTCACATTCACATAATTGTGATTGTTGTAATGAATAATATTTTGAACATATTGATGATAATGATATATGAATATTAAATAGAATAAGAAGAAATATCAAGAAATAATTAGATTTTAAATACATCTAAAATTAAAGATAATTAATTTTAAGAAATGTGTATCATATAGATTCTAATAAGTAGTGTTTTTGATTAAGGGTTGGGAGTGGTGGTTGCTTGGACATTGGGTTTGGCTACTAGAGACCTGCGGAGGACTCCGAAACCCGATTCCGACGGAGTCGAGTTTGCTGAAAAAAAATTTTCGGGTTCGGAGTCAGTTACAAGTTCGACTCCGATATTTTTTTTTTCGATTTACCAAAACTTAATTTTTAACATTAGTAAATAGAAAAATAAAGAGGACTATTGGTC